GTACAATGGCTGTAATGCTTGTCTAAATAGACATTTCAGAGAGGAAGCGGCCAGTCGACTCGGGCCTCGTGATTGAAGAGAGGCTAACATCTCCCAAACCAGAGCGAAGCTCTGTGTCCAAGTACCCCTAAATTTGCATCTATTCCTATTTACGCCAAGCAATAAATACACTCGAATCCAATCAGACTCCTCGTTCTAAGGGCATGAAAGCCAGGAAAGAGGAGGTAAACGAGGACCGTACTACAATGACCAAGACACAATGTGACCATTTAAAGAAACCGACATTTAAACAAAAAACACGTATTACAATAGTACGATGGCTAACCACAAAGAATGCGATGTTATTGCAAAAAGAAATTTGCCGCATACGTGTAAATAAAGCACGATATAAAGATGACACAAGATACCCTTTTAACCTTGTTAACGAACCTACGATTAATTGTAGGGAAAAGTTCAATCAAATGACGATAGTTCAAAGTCAACAAATTGCATCAAATTTATCTGGACATGAAAGAAACAAAGCAAGTTATTGGCAGCTAGTTGAGAACTGCAATGTCGCAATGCTGAGAAACATAACGTTTAAAAGTGTTGTTTTATTGTGCGGAGCATGTTTTACTGATAAAACTTATGAGCGGTTTATATTAATATTTGCTTCCACGTGAGGGTAAGTGGGATTTCCGTGTTCCATAATTGTGATGTTCGCCGTTCGCTTGCAGATTAATTGTACAGGTCAATGTATATGTGATAGATTAGTGTACTCAGCTAGGACATCCCATGACTTTATTTCCGCAAGTTACTGCACCTTCTGTAATAGGGAGTTCATTTATGCTGCTTTGGGACAAGTCACTTCTTTGAAACAATCTAAGTAGTTGTAAGTGAAGAGGTGAATTACGGTCCTCAAATTTTAAGGGTCGTTTTGTGACGTGTTGTTGTAGGTAAGCCTGGAAAATTATTAACATATCCTACTTCTAGCTCCAGTTGTAGAATTGGGTAAAGCTAAATCAAAAGAAACGAAGACTGCCACTTCTCAGTCAGGAACAGTAAAAAAATACTCTTGAAATCGAGGATATCAGCATGGATACTGTTAAATTACAAAAAAAAGTCGTGGACATCAGTGTGCGTACTACAACTCGGAACAAAAGGCAGCTAGACGTAGCAAAGAAGCAAGGGGACGACGACCCGACGGGCTTCAGCTCTGAGGATGAACCATTGGAAAAAAGGCCTATGTTACCAACAGCAAAGAGGAATGTCGTCACACGGGCTAAAATACCTACTAGTGTGACCGCAAAGGAAGGTGCGATTAAACAAAAGAAACTAGTTGTAAAAGATTCTACCGTAAAAAACGAACTGAGGAGAAAGAGATCGACTAGACCATCAGAAAAGAAGCCTGTTAGTGAAGCCAAAGGAAATAACATGAGCGACTCATCAGAATTCACGTCAGAGGAAGAACCTCCAGCAAAGAAGTTGGCTCTTGTGGATGCGAACAGGAGCATTGTCATTTCTAAAAAACAGGGAAGTGGGAGTCTTAATAAAAGTAGTGTGAAAGAGGAAAAGCAAGCTCGAATATTAGCTAAACTTTCCGTGATGGAACCCTTGGAAAAGAAAAAGAAGCAGGAGAATAGTGAGTCTTCGGAG